AGATTCACCTGTCTTGTAGACACCAGCCGGCAACGTCATTTTCGTCTTTTGTTTGCGGGTATTTGCAGGCGGAGTGTACTCGATCCAGATGTCATCTTCCAGGATATTAAAATAACTGTGGGGAAACTGAATCTCTGCTAGTCCGATTTCGTACTGTGAACTCAATTCGATGGTCTGTGGTAGTTTGACAAAATAGTGACCTGGTTTGTTGTTTGGAAAAAGTGTTGGTGAGGCGTTGCTGGGTAGCGTCACGTAAAAACTCATGGTTGCTTTAAGACCGTCTCTATTTTCGGATTCGGTAATAGGTAACCCAAACAACTAGACAAAAGCACGATCCACAACTTTCCCTCTGCCTCACTCGCCGAGCCGTACGTCAGATTGAATAGTGATACACTGATGACAATGTATATAATCACCATCTGTGAGATGAAAACAACCTCAGGTCGCGGACGTAGTTTACCGAACCACGATCGTTCACCGTCAGCTTCTGTTTCTGTTGCAAAGACGGTAATTTCATCCACTTCATCTACGTTTTCCATAACACTAATTTTCGTACTGTTCTAGTTGTTGGTCTGCTATCCAGCTGTTGAATGAGGTCGGATAACCAAACCACTTGACTAAATATTCTTTACCACCTCGGGCACCTCGTCGTTCTTGTAAAATCTTTTCCACCCGATAAATTTCTTTGTCGCCGACTTTCTGTATTTCTTCCTTATAAAACGACCCGCGGAGTTCCTCACCCGAATCGTCTTTTAGCACATAAGTTACCGGGGAGGTTCTGTTGACGCGGCTGACGGTAAACAACTCTTCGGTCCAGGAAGCCATATAACCTTTCTTAAATGTCTGCCTGGCCTGCGCGAGTCTCACACGCTCACCTTCTTTAAACACAGGTATGCCGGGGCTGTCGACACTCGAATACAGTGTCTGCCATACTTGTTCTTGGTTACGCCGGTTAACGTCCACGGGGGCCATACGAATGCTGCGGTGATAGGAATGGTTGTAATTTCGCAAAAAGAACTCCAACACATCGATATAACGGTGCTTGTTGGTTTTGGTGAAATAACGCCACATTTTTTCTTTCAAGGTGCGGTTAAATCTTTCCACCACCGCCGCTTTAACATCTTCATTTTCTGTCGTGAAAAAATGCACGCCCTCGTCTTTAAGAAACTTTAAGAACGTCCGATTAAGGAACTCTGATCCTTTGTCACTTTGCAGTTTCATTGGCTGCCGCTCGGTAAATATTTTACTGAACGCCTCCACTAAAGCTTTTCCAGTTTTGGTTTTTATGGGAATGGCCCAAGCATATTTACTGAACACGTCTATACACGTAACCAAGTACGCCATACCGTCGTTGTCTTTTCGTAAAGATCTCATATCTATCAGATCAGCTTGGAATTGTTGGTTGAGTCCACTGGTTATAATCGGACGTCTCTTAAAGTGGCGCCGTATAGGTTTATGTAAGGTATATGTATCTTCATGACTGAGCCAATCTTTGATCTGTTTAGTTGGCGCTTTTGTGTGTCGTTTTAAGGCCACAGCCCCACTATAGGCCCCCGGTTGTTTCGGATCATAGTAAAGTTTTTTCAGTTGCGCGGCCATTGGTCCCACTTGGGTGTGGGTATTTTAGATTTTTTGTTTCTTCGTCGCAGCTTATAGGAGGACGAGGTCTTTGGTGTCTCTGGATCCGCGGTCTTCTTGGTAATTTTAGCCGGCGATGAATGAGCTACAATCTCGGTGTCTTCTGTTTTAAGTGTTGTCGGCAGTGTTGTCGGCAGTGGTGACGGTGGTGGTGGCGAACTTGTTTCTGTGGGTGTTTTAATATCCACTAAACCCAAGGGTTGGAGATGAATTTCTGGCCAGTAGATTCTCCCGTGTTAGACCCGACTGGGAGGCGTATCCTATATCAGAGGAACACATTCTCCAACAAGTCAGCCATGAGACATTCTTTGGGTTAGTCGAGTGTGACATCGAGGTCCCTAAACACTTAGTGGCCAAGTTTTCGGAAATGACACTCATTTTTAAAAACATAGAGGTGACTGGGGACGACGTAGGTAACTTTATGAAGGCGTACACAACTGAAAATAAACTATTGACGGAGGCGCGTAGGACACTGATAGGGAGTTAAAAAGGGGTAAAAATTTTGTTAGCGACTGCGTTGTTAAAGTGGTATCTAGAAAAGAAATAAGTGGTGACCAAAATTTATCAAATCATAGAGTACCACCCGGTGAAGTGCTTCGAGAAATTTGGGGATACCGTGTCAGAGGCCCGACGCGTGGGGGACAGTGACCCGTCCAAGGCGCTCACCGGGGAGACTATGAAATTATTAGGGAACGCCGCGTATGGTAAGACTTTGACCAACAAGTCAAAACATACCGACGTCTCCTACTGTCTTGGGGCTAGTACCTCGACAAAAGTCAATAATCCCCTATTTAAGAAAATGTCGAACCTGAGCAGCAACCTTTATGAAGTAGAGATGTTGATGAAGAAGACAGTTTGGGATCTCCCTCTCCAGATAGGGTTTTTTGTATACAAGTACGCCAAATTAGGAATGTTAGAGTTCTATTACGACTTTTTAGACACATTTATAGATAGGGCCGACTTTCAACTCTGTGAGATGGACACAGACTCTCTCTATTTAGCTCTTAGCAGCAACGACCTTTCCGATGTTGTTAAATCCCACCTTCGCCCCGAGTTTTATAGTATCTACGATCAATGGTTTCCCTCTGAAGTCTGTCTTGCGCACAAGTCTCTATTTGTTTCCAACGAGGGTAACGTCTCCTTAGACTGTCAGGTATGTAGAGATAGAAAAATCTATGAGAAGAGAGCCCCGGGGCTTTTTAAATTAGAATATGAGGGGGTGGGATGATATCCCTGTGCAACAAAACTTACCACTGTTTCGGCGAATACAACAAAACTAGCACCAAAGGTCTTTTAAAGCACCACAACACTTTAGACAGAGACACATTTTTGAACGTACTCGATACACAAAAACCACAAGGAGGGACCAATGTAGGCTTCAAATTACATGACTCGTCCATTTTTACATTTAAACAACATAGAAAATCGTTGTCCTATTTATATATTAAAAGAAAAGTACACGACGATAAAGTTTCAACTTCTCCTCTGACCATCTAATTTCTGTTTTCTGTCTGTCCTGTATCATAAATATCACCTGTCTTTCCTATAAACTATGTACATACAACACAGACCGGTGACATACACGCTACTTCACTGTCTGTCTGTGATATTGCTTGTCTATATGTAAAAAACACAAATTGTGCCATCGATAATATGCAACTTTTATTGATGAAAAAATCCGATTTGTGCCATGCCATTGTAAAAAAATTAACTTTGTTGATATGTAAATAAAATAAAATTTGTCTGGTGAAAATGTTACCTATGTTTTTGCCAACTATGTCATGAATTATTTGCCTAATTTATGCCTAATGTATTGTTTGAAATATTCGAATTTTAATGTTTATTTTGTCTGTCCTAACCAGATAAAACAAAATTGAAAGGCTAAACAATAAACAATTATATAAACTGTTATACGTCTTCTGCTTTTCATTTTTTAATCAATGTTGTTTGTTACCAGGGGGTGGATAATTACTACAGGTGGGATACAGGGGTAGACAGAAAGAACTACAAGATTTCAAGATTTTTCAGTGCCCCAAAGCCCCTAAGGTGTTCCAGGACCCCCCCCCCCCCCCCCAAAAAAAAAAAATATATATATATATTCTTTGCAACTTTTTATTCTGAGATGACAAGACCGACATCTTGGAGAGAAAAAAAAACCATCTTTAAAAAAAAAAATATTTGGGGAAATTCTGACAACTGGGAAAAACATTTTCACCATCTTGGGGGGAAAAAATTTATCCTCAAGATAAAAAATGTGCAACAAGATTTTATTTCTGGAGGATACGCCCCTGACAGCTAGGAAAAATTAGCCATCTTTAAAAACAAAATATGACCTATATTTTTGAACTTTTGAACTTCCTGATTAACACCTGTGCTAGGGTGGGAGACTGGTGGGAGACTGGTGAGAGAGTGGTGGGAAAGTGGTGGAAAGTGGTTGAGAGTGGTGGAAGAGTGGTGGAAAGTGGTGGAATAATTAACATCAATTAAAGCATCCCCTACTACTTGTGTCAGCTGTATCATCGACTCCAACCCTGCATCAAATCTATAATCTACTCTGACACTGTGTCAACTGTAATATCGACTCCAACCCTGCATCAACTCTATAATCTACTCTGACACTGTGTCAACTGTAATATCGACTTCAACCCTGCATCAACTCTATAATCTTCTCTGACACTGTGTCAACTGTAATATCGACTCCAACCCTGCATGAACTTTATAATCTACTCTGACACGGTGTCAACTGTAATGTCGACTTCAACATTTAATCTTCTGTTTCTCCATAAATTTGCTGCTTGGTGTTGTTCCTACAGTCTAATATTATCATTTCTAACGTTATCTCGGATGATTAATTTGGTAGCTTTTCTCAGTGAGATCAATTATAATTAATAAATTAGTCAGTCAGTCAATCGACTGATTCTACTTCTAGTTTGAGCATGTTATATCTTTCAAATCGGCAAGACTTTATGATGATGATGATAACGATGATGATGATGATGATGACGAGGTGTATTATGTGTCGTTGCCGACTAAAAATTTTTCCATCTCGCATTTGCCAAATCTCGTGTGACAAAAGCCATTTTTCTTGGAAATCGACAGGAAGTGTCCGCCATGGTTGTGACGCTGTGGAAATAATTTGCGTGATGTATCAGAATCCAGCAATAAACGCGCAATGAATACGCTGATTCGAATGTCCCTCAAACTGAGATCAGTTACCTGCAGTCAGACGAATGCATTATCAGTTGTAGACTCTTCGATCTGTAAGCTGATCTAAAATGTATACACCACATCCGGTCATTTCGTCTGACTTTCAAAATGTTATTAATATCAGCATCGCACAATACTATCAATAGATCTTAAAAATGGGTCAAAATTATACATTCGCCGAGGCATATATTCAGCAAGTGAAACTCAGAGAATCAGCCACCATGAGGCTCTCACAAACATCAGAGAGAATCGGCGAGGACGAAGTCAGTGATATCTTGATAAAGGTGGCCACGGTGTTACAAGAAGAACTCAGTCCTGTTGTTTTAAAAAGCATAAAGAGCAGATTGAAGCAACTTCCTTTGGCGTGCTATAGTCTTGTAGGATCGTGGGTGGACGATGATGGACTGGATCTTCTTCACCACAGCATCATAAACAATTGTCCGGAGATGGTCGAGTTTCTTCTGTCAGAACCTCAGTGGTTTCCTTCAACTCAGATGCCGAAAAAAAATCCATATGCACACCTAGCCGCCATATTTGGATTTACAGAGTGTTTAAGGCTGATTATGCAGTACAGACCAGGTGATTATTTCACAGGATCGAATCAAAGTCATGTTATCAAATTGCCGCCTTCTATTAGAAAACGGTTGAAATCTCTGGATTCACTACGAACTAATGCGAATAAACAAATGGAAAAATTACTACATAGAATCAAGTCCAGCACAGAATGGACCGAGAATTCAATGAAATCTGCGTTCGGTAACGTTGTTGATATGGAGGAAGTAGGTAATGTTTTGAAAAGTGAACTTGAAGAGTTAGAGAAGAACAAGACAAAGCATGATGCAAGTATTCATCGATTTAGAAGTCTAACTTTATCAGGTACAGCACCGGAAGGATACAAACGCGTACCAGCTGGCGAGGCAGCGGATAATTCTGGTAAGTCAACTCGTCTACAGGCAGTAGGAGCTTCATCTTTAGAGGTAAAATCTCTCACACAGGATACTCTTGATAAAAAAACAATCGCTCGGCAAACAACAGATAAGGTTGAGAAAATAAAATGTGACAAGCGACAAAAACTAAAGCTGTGTGGGCGAGGAGCAATGGTCAAACACAGACTCACAGTAGATTGGGACGTGTTTAGTCAGCTTCCTGCAGGTGTTGTGAGTGGCGCTGGCGACAAAGTGATTGTCACCTACACGGATAATTCTCGCAAAGAACGACAGGAAGCCAGCGTTTTCGACACCTTACATAAGTCAGGTATTATGGGTACGTTGAGAACATTACCATCAAAAGAGGGTAAAACTTCCGAAAATCGCAAAACTCTCAAAAGAAAATCAACCATCAGGGGGATTGCTCAAAAGAAAGACTCAAGTTTAAGTTATCCTAAAGTTCTGGAACCAGGTGTGAGGGGGAAGAAAAAGTATAAAGATTTCAAACTGACCTTGGAACAGCAAACTATTAAAGACGACACAACCAGTCTGAAAAACAAAACTCCGCTTTCAATTGCAGCTCAGTATGGGCATTTAGAATGCGTTCAGATGATCTTAGATACATTTATACTAAAGAACCACCCACATATGGCAGTTAGAGAACCTCTGACACTGGCAACTAAAGCCAAAAGTCCTGAAGCTATAGTACTTCTAATGGGTAAGAAACTGACAAGAACAGATTACCAAAGTGCGGTGCTTACAGCAATACGTGAAATGTATCCTGACTGTCTAACAGCATTGCTGGTTCACAAAACCAAAGAAAAACAGTCGTTATTCGATGGCGTCAATTTGTATCACATTCTCTATACCCAGAGTTTGATGTCTGATTACCGTTACGAGATGTTGCCAATCATGACTAATGTACTTATTAACAGTAACGAGGATGTCAATGCTCACAACGTGTACTGCACCTACCCTTTGTACACGCTGATCAATTGCTCATTTAACATCTCTATAGGAAAACAAATTTTTTATTATGTAGAATGTGTGAAAATTTTATTGGAGAACAAAGCCAGTCCTCACTTTGATGAAACAGAAGCATTCAAACTGGCCGGATTTGGACAGTCTTTTTCAAGAAGTGCATACTCATCTGCTATTAACTGTATTTTGGAAAGTGCAATGGGTGCTACGAATTTCTTTGAACATGCACAACATTCAAAGATCTTTATGAAAAAGCTAATCACCACAGTGACGACCTGTGATAAAACTAATAGACGCCTTCTCAATGATGTCCTCTTTAACTATATGGATACAGTAAATTCCCTTGACCTAGATCGATACATCGTAAGATGTTTACTTCGCTACGGGGCAAACCCGGACTTTCGCAATGGATCTAAATATGCAATCAATGTATATTTTGATAAAATGCTTCCTCATCTAGCGAAGTTTGAGGTGAACAGCACACACAGCAAGTGGCAGCACGAACTCAGTGCTTTGATGTTGGTGTGTCGAGGAATGAACTACAAGTGCCTGAGAGAGGCCAAGATAATATTTCTCAACGAGCATCTTCTGCGTTGTCCAATTCAGGCCCTGCCGCTCTGCCGTTATTTCTCCTACCTTATTAATGACATGTTAACGTCGCCGCGGCCGTTGGTGGAACTAGTAGCTCAGTTTATCTGGGTCCGATTAAGACGAAATGAAAAGCGCGCCAAAATGCTTCCATTGCCAGACCCGATCATTTCACTAATTGTGCCCTAAGAATGTTCTTAAGTCGAGGGATCCGGCACACTGCAAATTGAACCAACTAATTCATAAGTGATTGCCTTTCCTCTGCAGTGTATCCGTCAGCGGACAGCGGCTGACAACAACAGTACTACGTCGGTCATCTTTGGCTTCACCTAGAACCATAGGAACCATGGGCTTTATGTACTTTGACTTTATACTTTTTTTCCAAACACACACATCTTTTCCTCTTAGTGGGCTTACAACCTTTATCACCCCCTAAACAATTAGAAGGGCGCTGAACTGCACCCCCGCCCCCCCCCCTAAATTTTGTCTTTATGTAGGCGCCCCTGTTGCTCTTCTTGTGCTATAATATGTCAGTAATTACCACCACAGCTAAGCTTAAACACTGTTAACATTTAAATGATTACAGTATAAATCTAAAAGCCAGAATTGACCTCAGACAGACATTCTGGAGGTAATAAGAAAGCGATACACTTTACATCCCAACGGCAGTCTATTTATATGCATTCCTTCGTCCCGTCCCTTCTCTGAGCAGCATCTACTCAACTCAGAATTTTATATTTATACAAAGTGGCGACACTACAAGTTACTGCTGCTAGTGCTTGTAATGCAGGATGGTCATACTAAAGGTAGGTAGGTAGGTTGTACCTCACCAGGACATCACACAAGCGATAAACCCCGGGTGACACAATGTGCCACCAGGCGGATGAGGACCACCCGTGGAGAGGTCCCAGAAACCCCTTTCAGTCGTTAGGCCATATCTTTGGCTAGGCCAAATCATGCCTCGGCTCAGGGAATTGGGAGGGGGAAAAGGGGGGGGGGGCGCTTAAAAAAATTGCATCCCACATGGGGACGACTTTACTATTATACTACAAAAATCAAAATTTGTGTGTAAGCTAGCACCGTTCCAACACAGAATGCTAGTAGTATTTTTTTGTTTTTGTTTATAAAGCATGGTTCTATTACAGTATTACATTAGTGTTTTTGTATCCCAGTATCAGCTGATTATGTTTATAGCATGTGTATATGCAGCACAGCATGTTTACCTTTTCTACAGATGACTAAAATCGTGTATTTTTAAAATCTAATTATACATACAAAAGCCACATCGAGAAATGGGAAATAACCACGAAATAAAAATAAGAAAGGAACTTTCATATTACAGAGTTCTCGTACTTTCATTGTCTTTCTTTTTATTGTTCAGTGTGTGCTGTAACATTTACTGTTCTCTTATAATGTGATTCATTATATTTTTTTAAGGGGATGAAAGAAACAAGTAGTTCCTTTTTTGCACGAAAGCATCACTGAAGCAAATCTATTTATGGGCGCTCATCGATTGTAAACTCCGGCGGAGTGTTCGTCCACTTCTGCACTTCGGTCATGCTCAAGAGCTGCTTCTTCTTCTTATTCTTCTTCTTCTTCTTCTCTTTCACCTTGTACCTCAGCGAAGTGTCGGGGTACAGAAGTGTCGAAGTGTCCAGAGCTTGAACATCGTATTTTCATGTCTGGGCTGCTTGAATATACAAGGTTGGTTCCTCGTTTCCGAGGCATGTGCGCTCTGACTTCAGAAGAAACAAAAATTACTAATTAATCGACTTTCACAATCTGCTTGTTATGGAGGTAGTGATTTTTCTGCCTAAAATGGAACCCCGGAATCCACACCAGCAATTGAAGCTGTCGGCTAATTTTTTGTTTTTGTTTTTGTTTAACTTGTATATTTGTGTGTGTGATAACAGTGCTCTATGGCTTTACTGCTGAACTGGGTTACCTGGTTGATTTTCCTTCTAGAGATATTAATCCTGCAGAATTCAATGCTGCTATTAAAAACTAGAGCAAAGGAAAAGGGCCAGTTTCACGCATGCGCGCATCGGACTATAATACTATACGTATATTTTTCAGACCAATCTTTAACTGCAGTGGGATGTAGTCAATATCCGCCGGCTGCCTTTGGAGAAGAAATATATAGTTAAACTACTGTGGTGAAAACACACAAACAACAACTGCAATAATATTGTTGTTGACGATTGTGGTTATAATAACTGAATTTGTGTAAATATGTAAAGGAAGTTGCACTTCAAAGAAAGTCTTAATAATTCGTTAAGAAAACTTGCAAACCTTTCAAGAATAATGATTTATTATTAATGGTCTTCTTCGCGTTCAACAGCTGTAAACTTTGGCTCTGGCGGAAAGTTCGGGTTGTTAATCTAGTTCTGGACTGAAGTCTTATTCTAGAACTTGAGTTTTGCGTGCACATCCGTTTTACAGATCTAGCATTTTTGTATTCATGCTGGTGGCTACTTGCTTTTCGTGCAGATACAATCCGACTATGAAGAAAACATCCCTAATTAGTAGATTTTACGATATGCTTGTGAATGGGGCAGAAGGTGATCCCCACACCCCCTTTTCACTGTGGGGCCTTGGAACCCACACGGGGTAAAAACTGTGTCAACAGATCTTTGGTACACAGTGTTAGCCTACGTTTAAAAAAAAATAAACCATTGAGTACTAGATAGGCGATGTTGCCAATAGCACCGCGATCGCCAATACTTCCCAGAACATTTCTTGGTATTTTTTCTTCTTCCGCTTCTTTTGTTTTGCTGCTTTTATGATTCGCGATTCACTTCTTTTGTCTGCGTGTTGAAAATCTGCATATGACTGATTACTACCTATTTTATTCTTATTGTTTTATCTTACTGTTTCAGCCATAAAGCGTCGCAGGCAGGAGTTAGATGTAATTTCCTATCATTTGCTGTCTGCTTAGCTTGTGCCTTTGTCATACTGTGTTTATGTAGTGTCTTTTTTACTGCCTTTGCCCATCTATTTATTGGGAGGCCTTTTGTCTTGTAGCCTGCTGTTCTTGTGTAATTCGCTCTAAATGTCATTTTTCACCCATTCTGACAGATGATCAAACCATTTGATTATGTGATGTTCTATGAAATTACATGCCTGCACTGTGCCAACAACTGTTCTTAATTCTTCCTTGAGGACTATGTACCAGTTTAAAACTCCGTTAACCCTGGTTAATGACCTCTCTCCCTCCTACCCATGTCTGGATAGGGATTCAAACGCATGACGGTCGAGCATGTTAGCTGTTGCTCTAGATCGGCTTCATTCTCGTTAGTATATTTTATTCATTTCAGTGTTTTTCTGTCATCGCTTGTTTGTAGAAAGGGAATGAAAGTATCCAAACTCCACCATGTCGCATGTGGGCGTATATTTATTTAACAATATATCTATCAACTGGTGAGACCCTAATCCGTCTAAACTGGACCACAGGTAACTTGTCGGCTGCCCTTACAAAACGTTGCTCTGTGGTGGAAGGGGCTTTTGCTAATGTTTTATTCTCATCCTAATAATGTCTCCATAGGTCACATACACTTGAAATAAGAACAAGTGTGCGTCAGTGATTACTTTTGTCACCTCTTCTATTTTTACTTGCAGATTATAAAGACAGTAACCGCTACAACTAGAAAAAGTATTAAGCGGACCGCTACAGAACATCTTTAGAACTAAACAGTTTCTAGTAAATCAAGAGATAAATGGTACGATGCATCAGCATTTCCATTATCTAAATTCTGCTGAATATGTGAATCCTGTGGTGTTAGGAAAGTCTTGATAATTGTAAACTAGCGCGTGTTTTGACTGTCTGCTTCTCTCATTCAGCAGACGTCAGCTGAGTGTCTCAAATACGCGTCATCGACTGGGTTCGGCAAGGACCGAATCTTTAACTGAACCACCCCAAAATGGAGCTAAGTAAAAAATAAAATAAACACGCCCACCGTTTCGTTGCTTTGCTAATATAACTTGGTGGATATTGAGGTCAACATGGCGATGGTTAACTTTATAGTTTAAAGAACATTTCCTGGCACTAATTTTAGGTCGGGTTGACCTGAAAGCTCATGTTTCAAATCCCCACCTAGAAAGGAAATCGAATAGACGACATGCAAGAGACTGCTAGCCAGTAGGTTATCGTAGATCCCATTTAGCTTTCCAAAATAAACACGCTGAACTTTAAAGATGACCACGCCCACACAGAGTTGTCTAGACATGCTACCCCCCTCCCCCCACCCCAAAATGCTTCCTTCTTTTTCACGCCTTCACACACACACACACACACACACACACACACACACACAACATACACATAACTTATAAACAAGTGAGTATATATATATATATATATATATATATATATATATATATATATATATATATATATATATATATATATATTAGGGCTGTACCGAATAGTGATTTTCACTATTCGGCCGAATACGAATAGTGGGACCAACTATTCGGCCGAATACGAATAGTGTATCATCATCATCAGGTGCCTTGCCGACTGACGTGCGCGATTATGGCTCGCCACAATCTACGATCTCCTGCAGCATGCATCAGATCGTGTGCCGACACACCTCCATGCCAGGCAACAAGACTGTCAAGAATCTTTTTTCGTTGTCTTTCTCTATCTCTCTTTCCACAGATCTTTCCAGTGGTCACAACATGTTCCATTTTCCCTCTTCTCATAACATGGCTGAAAAATTATGACTGTCTCCTTCTGATGTCTGTGATTAGTTGTCTTCGGGCTCCCGTCTCTTTCACAACCTATTGGTTGCTTTTTTTTTGGGGGGGGGGAGGGGGGGAGCTATTCAAGGTATTTTAAGCATTGTTCTGTAAAATTACATCTCTGAAGCCTAGAGAAATTGTTTGACCCGCCTACCGATTATCCAGGACTTACAACCACATTTTAAAACTGGAAGAATAGGAGAAAAATAGAAGCAAGCAAGAATTATTTTTCTAACTTTCAATGGCAAAGACATATTACATACATTGTTCTTCATTTTATAAAATGCAGTTATTGCCTGTCGCCTGTGCTCTTTTCGACAGTGGCGAGGAAAGTATCTCAAGTATCTTTATGTCTTCTTTAATAATGTCATAATTTATAGCTGACTTTTCTTGATTTTCACTCCGGCACTCCTGGCATACGTACCCAATTAGAGAACCTTTGCTGT